GGGGCGGTTGCGCGGGTGCAGAGGAGGCCCTCGCGCTGCCTGTAGGGGAGGGCGGCAGGGTGGCGCTCGAGAGCGCTAGGAGGTAGGCGCTCGAGGGCGCGGGTAGGGGCGCACTACGGCGCTAGGAAGAGGCGCACGACGGCGCTAGGAAGGGCGCTCGACGGCGCTAGGAAGGACGCTCGACGGCGCTAGGAAGGGCGCACGACGGCGCTAGGAAGGGCGCTCGACGGCGCGAGGTACTATCAGAGACAGTCGCGCAAGGGCGCGGCGGAACGGTGGGCCCTAACCAACTTCGGTCCTAGGTCGTGACCTAGGCGTCGGATACCATGTTAGAATGTTGAACTGAACGAGAATGATGAAACTAGCAAAAAGGTGGGTACAAGTAGGAAACCCTAAGTTTGTTGTACCCCCTAAGGCTAAACCCACTATAGCCTACACAAAGTAAACATACAATGTTTGACATAAAGTACAACATTAAGGAAGTATCTCTACGAGGATTATGATGACAGATGCATGAGATACTACCAACATTGTATCTAAAAGCTACATTCAAATTATTGCGATCGTATGAATTTCTGTATGCATACATCTTGGATTAAAAAGCTCAATACGTATATATATTTATATAAAAGAATATCAACTCATTGGATTATTGTTGAATTAACACAGGCTGTCATATATTTGAAGACAACATGGACAATATAGTGATAAACCTCACCATGCGTACGCTTTTTGTCGGCCGTGATCCGATATCGCCTGTATTTGTGACCATTTGTGAATTTTGATTGTTCCGTTTGTTGACTTCGGAAATGGGACATTAAATGCAAAAGGTGTTTAAAGTAGCCGTATCTCTGGTATGATTATTGTGTACAGGGGCTCCAGAAGCTGTCATGCTGTAACATTTCAGATATTGTCGAGCTGGCAGCAGCCAGCGATTGATGAGCTGAGCATGGCTGCACGCCCAAGAAGCTTCCGTGACCAATCGTTGCTCAGGCTTGTGACAACGCTGCTGATTGGGATGACCAATCAGTCGCGAAAACCTCCCCTTTCCCTCTGCTGAGGCACCGAGGGGCCGAATCAGCATCTTCTACTCCACGCTGGCGATTGCCTCGCTGGTACGCCAGTGGCAGGTTTTGTCGCCTTTTTTTTTTTTGCAGAGTTGACGTGCTTGCACCCAGCTACCCCCACCTGCTCGTCATCTCCCAGTCGTTCTTACGAGCAACATGGGCTCACCTTCTCATCATTTTAGATCGACGAGCTCTAAATTTGTGACTGCAGTCTCTTTGCTCTAAGTTTGTGACTGCAGTCTCCTTAGTCCTCAGTTGTGTGACTGCAGTTGCTGCCCTTCTTATTTGCCCTGCCCCGTCTCCCTCTTCCGCCCCCCCTTACATCACCAGCAACCGCAGCTGCAGCAACACTGGGGCGGTTCGTCTAAGATACCCGAGCAGCACGGAAGGCAGCCGCCCGGGTTGGTCATGCACTCGCTCGCCTCCCTGCCTGCTACCGCCTTCTCGCTCCCCGCCGTGTCACTCTCCTTCCTGTTTCCCCATCGCGCCACAACATTCGCTTATGATATTTCTGAATGTGATGATTACAACGGTTTTTTTTTTTTTTTTTTTTTTTTTTTTTTTTTTTTTTTTTTTCCGTTCCTCATTGTGTTCGCACTTCTTTCTTGTTGGCCTGTGTTTCTTGATTATCAGGTACCTTGTCGCCCAACGTGATGCATAATCCAGCGCAGATAGACTCACCCTGTGTGCCGTCGCTGCTGATACGTGAGACATGGTGCTCGAAGCAACTTTTAATGCGTTGTTGGCCTGTGTCGTTATCGCGCTGCTTCGTTTTTTTCTCTGTTTGTCTCGTCCTGTTCGCCTGTTTTTCTTTTGTATCAGCCCCTTAGGCGCCCGACGAGATGCGCCAGCCAGCATGGTGTTTGCATGTCGCTAGTTCATGTAGTTTCTGCTTGTATATCTTGTTTTGTTATTGTATCCCTTCTGTTACTTGCAGGTTGCATGTCTCTTGCAGGTCGCCCGTTTCTTCTTGCAGGTCACATATTTTTCCTTGCAGGTCGCCTGTTTTCCTTGCTGGCTTTTTCACTGTTGCTCCTGGTTAGATATCATTCTGTTTCTGTCTCTGATTTTTTTTCATTGACATCCAGTCTCATTGTGCAGGTCCCACAGTTTAAATATTTGAGCAGTGGGTGGTCTTCCTTGCCAGTGTGTGTTCTAGAGCAGCCCGAGTAATTAATTGTTTTCTTAATGTTTACAAAAGTGTTGCTTTTGGAAAATGACGTTGTTTGTTAAGTTGTCTTTATTACTATTGAACCCATTGATGCTGATACACTCGAGAAATGAAAGAGAATGAGCATCAAATATTAAGATGACGCAGCTGTGTAATGAATGTTGTAACGTCCGTATTCGGAATGCTGTAACGTTATTATAAATCCTCAGTATAACGAATTTCCGCTTTTAATTAATTATTTCATTAAATTTAAATTATTGGATTTATACTGATATCTCTACATAGAGACAGCGCTGCTTCAGTGTATTTGCGTTTTATACAGATTGTTGTCTGACGCGTCTCGAACATAGGCCAATGGGATCAGTTCCAACAGACTCGGAAATCAAATGAACGAAATTGCCAAACGAAATGAACCAAGCCATCGGCCAATCACGCAAGTTTCCGAACCAAATAGTCGGACCCTTACTTGGTTCCAGGGCTCCTGGAAGCGAAGTGCACGCGGTCCGCTCGAAAAGCATAATGACCGGCAACTTCGAGAGAATTACCGCGGCGCGAGCTTTGGTCTCGTGAATTTTTTTCATCGCGCTTAAAATTTTCCATAACCCCGAAACGACGACACTCCACCTTCTATCCCGCGCGTTCCGCGCTCCTGACATTTCGATTTATATAAAAACCGTAAGTGTTGTTTTTGGTGGGTTCCAAATTATCGGTGGGCAGTTTGCTGGTTGACGTCGAACTTCTCTGCCACGCAGTATCATCCGATTGGGTATTTCGCTCCTGATAGTGTGGAAAGTCGGTGCAGAGAAGGTGGAGCGCGAACAGGTTCGGCATTGAGTTTTGGTTCACTGTTTCAGATAATGGAGGCTTGTGGGGTTGAACGTGTCGATACAAGATTGGCCAGAGCTAATTAACCATTCAGTCGTGGGTGTCGGGCGCATGTACAGATACAGTAACGTAAACCTTCAACACAATTTTATGATGTGTCAGGCGACTCGGTTAAACACTGTCTTTTTAAACACGCTTCCACGTGCGTGAACTTGCAACAGACACGTCATGCAGGAACGCCTGAGAATTGGTGAATTGGCACGAGTTTTTGCTTCGCCAGTTTCTGAATGGTCCGTTTTTTAATCGGATTCTCGCGCCACCTTTGAAGATATATGCCACATGTTTGGTCATGATTTGTTTAGTTGTGTTCATTTCCTGTTAATTAACGCGCCGCTGATCTGAACACAATTCTTTCAACGCGATTTCTGACGAGACGCAATGGTCACAACCACCGCCAAGATTATGCCCCCTGGGTCTGACACGTTAATTGTTGTTTTTCCTAGCTGTGATCCGAACTGTCAGGGATGTCTTGTCCATTCTGAACCAACACCAGATGCCGTTCAATATCTTGGTCATTTGTGCCTTCGCGTCGCGCCCAAAATAGACCAGGGCTAAGGTTAACCAACTACATATTGCGATGTGAGAACATGGTTGTACTGGCAGAACCACAATGGCGGAACCTCCGGCTAATGGCTGTGATATGTATGACATCATCCTAGAGCAATTCGACATAGAGTTTGAACCCGAGGAGGGACCTACTATCAATGACAACGCTGCAATTCAGGAGGGTAACTGGTACTCCTCGCGAGATCATTGCCTATTTGCGTTGCTTGATGATGCGGTGGTTCATAAATACGGTTTCTACATGAAGGCTACCAGAAAGGCATCAGCGCTAGCCTTGTGCAAGAGTCAGAAGCTTGGTTTGGAGCCGGACTGTCCATGGCGGTGCAGCTATGCTCGCATCCAGCGAAACGGGCCGTGGCAAATCGTACAGCTGTCCGATCCCTCGGAGCACACTTGCGACCGTGTCTACCGGGGCCGATGGTGGCCGGGAATGGGGCGTAAGAGGAAGTACCTTTGGCGGAAATTCGGCAACTTCGTCCGTGCAGCGCCTTTCCACGCTCCGTGGGACTACGCCAGGCAGATACAGGCCTGCTCTGGTCCGAAGTTAACATACAACAACGCGTATAGGTGAGCGTACAACCATCATATTCCAAACACGTTTAGCATCATCTCTGGTAACGACTCTGTACATCCCCGTCTCTCATGTCCCGATACCACCCAAACATTCCCCTTCCCCTTACGCAGGCTAAAGGTTGGGATCACGGAGCAGCGATTCGGCGACTGGTGCGAGTCATTCCGCTACATTCCGGCGCTGCAAGAGCGGATTCGGCTGATCGATAGCGTAGCCACCGTGAAGCTACTTACGTATAATCATGAGTTTCTCCGCTTCTTCATGGCGCCTAGTGCAACCCGCGAAGCACTCAAGACTTGCAAGCCTGTCGTCGCATTGGACGGAACTTTCCTGATCCGTGCTCAGAAAGCTACACTGCTTTACGCCAATGCGATGGATGGAAATCAGCAGATCATCCCGATCGCGTGGGCGCTCGTTGAGAGCGAGACCAAGGACACATGGACTTGGTTTTGCCAGCTTTTTTATGAGCACTGCGGTGACTGGAAGGGGAGGGACGACGAGGCCATCATCAGCGACCGTGACAAAGGACTCATCCCGGCGGTGAAGGAAGTGTTCCCAGAGAAGGTGGCGCACTATTTCTGTGGGTGGCACATGCAGCAGAACGTGAAGCGGTTCGGCAAAACGTCCGCTGACATGTTATGGCGGCTTTTGACAGCAAGGTCGTTGCCGAAGTACAACGAAATCAAGGCCGGTGCACGGGAATCCCATCCGCTGCTCACGACGTACCTCTACGGTCCGGCACATGTGGCCGACGCGCCGGGGCCAAACCCCACACCACCAGCTGGCTTTCGTGTTCGCCGACGCAACGTCCGGCAAACACGCCGGACACGCGCGACTGCCAACAATATTGCGGCCGAGGCGGCCGACGCACGGCAGCGTGCGCGAGCATCACAGTCGCGTCGTCGCGGCCCGCGACCGAGGCAGAGCGGGGCAGGACGCCCACCTCCGTATTCCGCAGCGCCAGGGCAATCCGCTGCGCCAGGGCCATCAGCAGCGACTCGCCCACGCGCACCATCGTCGGCCTCGTCTGCACCCCGCCCTTCCGCAGCACCAGCATCATCTGCAGTGCCAGGGCCTTCCGCAGCGCCCCGCCCATCTGCTGCACCGTCACCCGCCTCTGCGACCCTCCCATCCACTACACCTGCATCATCCGCAGCCCCCCGCCCATCTGCAGCGCCAGGGCCTTCCGCAGCTCCCCGCCCATCTGTAGCACCGCCACCCGCCTATGACACCCGCCCATCCGCTGCATCTGCATCATCCGCAGCCCCCCGCCCATCTGCAGCGCCAGGGCCTTCCGCAGCCCCCCGCCCCTCCGCAGCACCGTCACCCGCTTCTGCGACCAGCCCATCCGCGGCACCTGCATCATCCGCAGCGCCCTGCCCAACTGCAGCGCCAGGGCCTTCCGCAGCGCCCCGCCCATCCGCGTCTACAGGACCATCGGCATCACTGTCACCACCCACTTCGACCCGGCCATCTGCAGCACCAGGTTCGTTTGAATAACGGTATGTCAATTCGATCGTCCGTTCTTTAGTGCCATGTTATGCGTGGTAAATACGTTAATCACCAAAACTTCATTTTCGAAACCATTCCATACGACGCATTGTCAAGAGCCTATGAACTTCCATGCACAAATGATTTCGCATCCAATCCATGATTGCATGATCAGAGGTTCCGTTCAAACCGCACAATCTCACGATCTTTGCGGGGTGCATATTGCAACCCCTCTTGCAGAAACAACCGCAACATCAACATCACAGCGCGCGCCGCATCCACTACGACGGACTTCACCGATCGTCGTGCCTACTAGATGGCGTGGAACAGCCGCGTGCTTCAGCTTTGACAACATCGTGCTGAGAGCTGCGGTTCCGGGAGTCGTACCACCCACTGCGGCACCAACCCGCGACCCACCACCGACTGCGGCACCAACCTTCGACCCTCCACCTCCCGCCGTGGATCCGGGACCGTCGAATGGGCCCAACACTGAAGAGAGGCCCAGCGTGGTAGAGGACGAGGCGACTGTCGTGGAAGAAGACTCTATGGAGGACGGGGAGGATGGTGTGCGGGTGCGTACAGGCTTACGCGGTGACTACACTGCACGGAGGAACAGAATCTGGGTGTACGAAAGGCAGTGGGCTCGCTGTGCGGCACCAACGAGGAGATTCGGCATCTACACGAGCAACATGGCGGAGTCGACCAACGGGGCTGTGAAATCCATCCGGCGTCTTCCCCCCGCGTATCTGTTAGCTTCAATGTGGGACTACAACGTCAAGAAGTTTCATGAGCGGCGTGCGGAGGCGAGAGCTCGGGATGACTATTTCACGGAGTAGGGGAGGAAACGTTATGAGGAGAAGTGCGAGCGGGCAAAGAACTACGAAGTAAAGGTCTCCAACATCGGGTACCTTGCGGAGGTGATTAACAACGGCAACACGTCGGATCCTACCCCACGAAGCTTCAACATCGACATCCGTGGCAAGGGCAAGTGTGAGTGCGGAAATTGGACGGAGTATGCGATTCCGTGTGCACACGCCATGGCGTTTTTCCCAGTGGCCAACAAGAATGGGTGGGAGTTTGTGAGCGACTACTACACCACATTCAACCTCCGTCTCACATACTCCCACACCATCCCTGGGACCTGCATCGACACCCTGATGGCACAGACAACACCCGTGCCTCAGGGAGTGTGTGATGCTCCTACGTTCACTCGTAGGGGTCCTGGCCGTCCCCCTTCCTACAGGCGCAGGGATGCTCCGCCGGCGAACTATCGCTGCAGAACCTGCTTGGGGCCTAACCACAACTCCGCTACCTGCACCCAGAAGTATGGCTCCGACAGAGCTGCGGGAGGTGTGTACCACACGGTGGGGTGAGCCTTCAATAATTTAGCTGATGTTAATCATACCAGCCTATGTGCAATGTCCAGATTATTCGACACGTTGTAATGTGGCCGTCCTTATTAGTCGTAGTATCTTGCATGTGTAGTACTCTGGTAGAATGCTCCGGTTCTTGGCGTTTAAAAATTAGGGTACAAAAGCAGATGTTGTTTCGTGTCCGAACATGTTTTTTAGTGGCACTTACGATATAACACGCCCGTTGATAGTGCTAATAAACTCTGACTCCAGACACGAGGCCATTGGACGCCCACACATGTGAAGCGCGAGATGGTCGCCCGAAATGTAATGTAATTGGCAGCAAACCACATGTACAGTCGTTTATTAACGTGGCGAGCATTCCGACGTCGCGAGCAACCGTGGTTCGTCGTGTTAAAAAGCACAGACAGGTCACGATTCACTCTTGTAGAACCGGAGCGCCTATCCGGTGGCCGAACTGCGATGTGGTTTTGATCGAAAATAACGATGTCAAATCCACCACAACGGACTTTACACGTGGAAAACCCGCTGACCAATCCGCATCTATAATTTGGAACGCGTGAACAGCTAAATCCTTCTTTGCCCTAATCCACACGTGCTCGCGGACATCCACTGTTGTGTTGACATCGACACGATAAATTGATGCTACACTATTCCCAGAATTATATAGTCTGAACAAAGTCTCCAAACGAATTTGATATTCGAGACAACCATCGTTTGTGCTTCGTCCGTGAAGGCGTACATTGCACGGAAAGGGATGATATATTAGATGATACACACTTATGAGGATGCCTTCAAATATAAGTCATAGTATGTTGTCCACAAACTCCTTATGTGGGAATAGTATCAGAATACATGTATCTTACCCACATTATAAATTAGATGATACACACTAATGAGGATGCTTTCAAGTATCAGTCATAGTATGTTGTCCACAAACTCATTATGTGGGGATAGTATTAACAATACATGTATCTTCCCACATGTATAATTGTCTCCTATGGAACGTGACATGTATTGTGCACATAGTTGACCACAAACATACTATGTACTAGCGTTCCGCACTACGACCCGGCACATGTTGTAAGGAGCCAGATACAATGAGGACGATGCCACAATAGTGGTCGTCGCTACTACCCTCCGTGGCAGTCAGCCATGGTTGCAGTGATGGCATCCAGGAAGTCCCTGGGCACCGATAGCGGACGCAGTTCCGCCAGGGCTAATTTTTTGTTTTCAGCAACCCTTGTGATCAGTGTTGCACAAGTCCAAAAACCTGATTATCAGTGTGACACCTTGTTCAAACCCTGATCCATCAGGGTTTTCCTAGTTTTTGAAAATTATACCCTGTATGATCAGTGTACCAGTTTTGCAAACCCTGGTGTATTTCGTTGGCAGGCAATAACGAAACTGTATTTCTGGAAAATGGAGGCCCCCCTCGTGCCAGCTCAGATATTGCCTTTGCCAAATTTCAGTTTCGACAGTTGGCACGCGAGAACCTCGGGTTACGGGAAAGGGGGGGTGGGATGGGGGGGGGGGGGGGGGGGGGGCGCTTGGGGGGGCTATGTACTCGATTCAGGGTAAAACTCGTTATGAAGATCGGTAACCCTGGGTCGTCAGTGTACCTTAAACGTAAACCCTGGCCTATCAGAAAAATACAAGCTCCTGAGAAAATTATCAGGGTATCAGGGTGATTTACCCTGATAAAATTAGCCCTGAGTTCCGCCTCCTGTCTCAAAATTAGTCGATAAACGACCTGGGAGAGCGGCCTCGTTCTTCTCCAGCTCTGCACATAGACAACAAGGCCGCCATTGCTTGGTGTATAGAGCACAATCAGGAGCACAGAACATAGCTCATCGCTCTGCGATACTTCCAGACTCGAGAGTACTTGCGAGGGGCGATCTACTGTTGCAGGCTATGTACTGTTTGCTCTCCTTTGTATAACCCTGCATCCATACTGGCCATGTGTCCTTTGGCTTTTGCTCATAATGTGTCTTGACTTTGTGATCCACACTGAGCAAGCTTTGCTTTTCTTGACTGCTCTTGTGACCACTGGTTCTCCCCGTTGTTGCCGGCGGGGGTGTGCCAAACTGCCAATCAGGTTTGTCTTGTGTAGGCTGTTGTGGGGTAGCCCATAAAGAGTACAACCATGAAAGGGTTTGAACTTGTACCCACATTCTGCCCAATGCTATCTTTCCTGCTTGTTAGTTTCTGACAGAGCATGCTTCGTCAACAATTGGACCAGGGGACAGTATTTCTCTCGAATACCGCTTGCATTGGACAAATAGACGTTCACCAACCGGCTTTTAGCACTATCCTATACCATAAATACAAGCATAAGGATAACGTCCACATGTCTAGTGATGTTGTAGACATTGTTCGAGCTCGTCCAGTTTGGCAGAGAGAAACGACTGTAAGTGGTCGTTTTTTTTTCTGAATGCTTGCAATCCCAGCACGAAGCTTCTGTACCTCCAGTTTAAGCCTAACGATCTCTAGTCGCTGCTCTAGCTCATGTGGAAGTGTTGGAACTCCTGCCTCCACGGTTACACACCCCTCCTCGTGCCGCCTACGGTATGGCCCTTGCGATGGGACGGCAACACATTCCGCCTGTAATTTCAGCAGCAGTGCACCACATAGAAGTGACAATAACGCAGATTGTAAGCCTACCCGATAGTCCGCAGGGTCCATCTCGAGGTACAGAGGCCCTTCAAGGTTCCGAAAATCATGGGTTACAAGGCATCTCAGAAACATGCATGTGTATATACCACAGTCTTCACTACCAAGCGGTTGCTGTGGGATCTCCGAAGTCTGCAGAAGCAACAAATGCTGTGCGATTGAGATGCTTGGAAACGGATAGAGTGTGATAAACAGAACACGGGTGGCGAGATGGTACCTGTAATATGCGCCATTCGACTTTCTGGACCCTGGCCAGACTATCCTGTTCACAAAGTCCCGGATGGACACGATGAATCTCGGCAGCTACTAACCTGTACAAAACATCAATGGTTGTGAGAAACTCCAATGAGTAATGTGGTAACACCATAATGGACCAACAGATTAGGGTGTGTTACCGTTCAATCGCATCCCATTCAATCCCCGTCTCGCAGTGCATGCCTGCCGAGTCAAAGTGGTAGAACTTAGGCTTGTGTGTAGGGGCAAATGGTGAAGTATCCGCGAGTAGTTCTTTTGCGTTGGCGACAACCACTTGGCTGAAATGAAACCTGCCAGCCGTATCTTTCATCAATAAGGACGGGAAGTCGGGTTGTTTGCGGGGCGTAATCACGTTAAAGTGACACCGTAGTTACCTTCCGGTGACGACAATCGCTACGTTGTCAAAGTCGAGAAACGAGCGTTTAGCTGGGCAGCAGGAAATCAGTTTACCATGATTCAACATATAATCGAACGCCTTGGAGTCGAGAGCGATCCATGTCTGCCCATTTCTAAGCCGTGGGTGACGAATGTCCAGCAAGCTATCGGGTGTGAACGAGGAACGAGAACGTCAACCCGGTTTCCAAGAATGAATAATCACAAAACCATAATGTGCTTACATATTGTGTAAGTCGATGATGTTGTCGTTCACTGCCATGTAGGAGGATATGCGAGCAAGATCTGCTCCAGAGACCGTAATTCCAAACGAATGCCAATTGTAAATGGTGCCCGTATTCCCCGCCAGAAGAGCAATGACGTCAGTTTGCGAGGCATTCACCCGACCGTCCTGTTCGTCGAGTTGAATAGCAGTCGATGAGCCACTGCTATCCGGCATTGCACTCATAACAGGTCCCGGACCATGTGCGCCGTAAAGAGTATTGCTCATCGTATGTCTGAATTGTCTGCTCGTCGATGGGTGAAGCTTCAGAACCAGTGTGGCAAGTAATGTAGAATACAAAGCGTCGTGTGTGAAGTATAGCAGCGTACCTTTTGAGCGTGGTCAAACTTACAATGTGAAGTTTGAGGTGCGCAAATTTGCATTCGCGCGCTTTTCAAAAAGGTTGACGTGTCTTGTTCTTGATTTGATCAAACGTGCAAGTTTCCGCGTTTTAAACACGCGAATGCCAAAACAGCACAGGACACTGTAGGTTTCAACCCGCCTTGCCGTTCATTCGTGTTGCACGTTGCTCATTATCCCAATGAGGACCAATGGCATGCCGGCTTGAATAGCGATTCGTGTAGTCTTGACTGACACGATACAGTGTGCCTGCACCGCACGGTGTTACCGTGCTACTTGTTTCCGATTTTGAGCATTTCCCCGGTCGATTTCCACCAATGTACAGTTTTCGATCGCGCTGCGCTACGATCGTTAATTAACATGCCTCGGGATGTGGTCCAACAGTACTGTGATGTCGTGGATGTTGGCCGCTAAAACACGGTCGAAAACAAAAACGAAACAGAGTGCGTGATTCCGAGTTTCCGGTATGTTCATTATCGTTCAACGAGCTATGCTTCCAACGTGGTGAGTCTTTGTGATGTACTTTGAAAATGTATCGCAAACAACATCAATTTGAGAACACTAAAAAGCCGCATCTATGAGAGATAACACACACAGGGAACCGACCCTTTTTTTTAGAATACAACAGTCTACGTAGATGCTCAAATTGTTGCCTCGTTAATGGGGTACTTCACCTGCCACAAATACACACACAGTATAAGACTGTCAGTTAGGGACGTGGGAAAGTCGATCTAACACACGTGCATCTCGTACCTCAGTTATAGTGATGTAGGTCCTCCAAGTATTGCTGGTGACCACCTGGGGTTCGAGAGTGGGCCATGCCCGGAGGTTGTGTGGCTTGGCTGCTGCTCGGCTGTGCTTGCGGCCGCGGCGGCAACATGGTGGCTGCACCAGGAACCTGAAGCAGAGGAGCCGGTGCAAGCTCCGGCATAATCTGCCGCCATTCGCGCCACCTGTGCCAGAGGCCACGCTCGGCCAGGCTTGCCACATGCTGCCTGGTGCACCCGGTCAGCAGCTGCTGCTCCGACAGGGTCAGTTCAATGCTACGCTGGATGCGATAACTTTGCGGCCGAACCACCACAGCGGCAGCCTTGTATCCCTTGGCTGCCTCCTCCTCGCTCGGGAACGGCCCCATGCGAATGGGGTTTTGAGGGGCCGGCATCAGTAGCTTGGCAAACCAAGCATCTCCACCCCCGGTAACCCCCGCGTACCTGGACTTCGCTCGTCCGCCGTTGAAGGCATCGGAACGAGCTCCAGCTACACCTGCCTCGCCTCCGGAATCGCGCATCCATTCCACGCCTCCTTCACCCGCGCCACTCATACTCGGGATGGCTGGCGGGGGGTACGACTGCTGCGGGGGGGGTGCGTGCGGCGGGGGAGCTCCTTGCCAGTAAAACGGCATCCCGGGCGGTGGAGCATAAGGTGGCATAGCCGCGAAACCTTGGTATATGGGAGCGGGCGGGCGGGTCGCAGCTGGGAGTGGAGCGACCGGACGCTGCGGCGGGGCAGGTCGGGATGTACCAGGCTAATAGTACGACGCGTCCCGCCCATGTGGCACGCTAGGCTGATGCGGCTGTGCAGTAGCTGGGGCGGGTGACTGCGGGGGGGGTTCGTAGTGGGGTTCACGCTGGTGCTGCTGCGGCAACCCTGCCTCCTCGTTGGGACCAATCCGCGAGGTTTGGCGAATTCCTGCAAGGGGGGAGGCCGCAGTGTCTCTAAGTCACGGGTCCGGACTAGAGTCAACCCGCTTGGATGGAGAGGCCACGTCTGGCTGGCCGTGCGCACCCAGCATGGCCTCTTTGTTCGCTGTCTCCCGCGCCTTCTCCAGTGCCGCCACGCGCTCACACAGCTGCTTGCTCACGCTGCTGAAGTTCGACTGCAGGTCGGCATAATCGGCGCGCAGAGCAGCGACTTCCTTCTTCAGTGTCTGCACCTCGGAGCTCGTCTCCTGGACAACACCGCTCATCTCAGACACGTCAGGTACGGCACCTCCACGTGTGAGCTTCTGTGGGGGAAGATTGAGCCCCGCAGTTTGAAGGGCAGACAACAGATTGCCCGAGATATGGGCGCACATGTCTGCCCGCCAGTCGTGACGGAAACGCAGGGGTGAAGTGGTAAAGGCGATAGGCCCGCCGAGGTGTTGGAAGTTGGTGGTCACGCGCAAGTGGAGGTACATGGCGGCGTAGATGCCACAGTCGAGACTCTTCTCCGGCTGCCGTGGTATCTCAAATGTGATCTGTGAACATCGACCGAAAGAGATTAGTAAATATAACAGTAGGAGAGCGTAGCCGGAATTGGATCAAGTGATAAGACGTTTGGTTCGGAACAATCTTACATCGAGTGCGCGATAAGGGATGGAGCCAATCCGGGACTCGACCACCGTTCATGAAAGTTCGGGGAAGACACGGTTCAGCTCCGATGCCAGAATCCTGCCATTGAAAAGCGATGAAAAAAAATTTCAGTGGTGCGGCAAACCGTTTCCATCATCAGTCCGCTCCTAGACTTACAAGCGAACATTTGTGACGACGGCGTTGTTGGCTGCGTGATGGCCTGTCGAATCATATAGCCATAGCTTGGGGGGGAGCTCATCTCCACCGTCGGATGGTGTGACAAGCGTGCTTGCGTTTTCCAGAACAAACAGGCTGAAATGAAACCTGAAAGAAACACGACAGACGAGGTTAGAAGGGAGTCGCCGTGGAAACAAGATCAGGCGGGTGTTTGCAACACATACTCAGCCGCGGCAAAAATTGCCACAGAGTCGAAGCGCAATAATGTGTCCTTGTCTTCGCAGCAAGCGATGAGCTTCATCTGTGTCGCCATGTAGTCGTATGCTTTAACATCAAACGCGATCCATGTTTTTCCGTTCTCCAATTTCGGATGGCGTATGTCCAGGATGCTGCACGGGTACCAGCACGGAGGGTGGAGCATGGAGGATTGTAACATTGAGTGTGAAAATTGTAGACTTGATAATTCGGGTTTCCCAAAGTGTAATGTCTCAAAACGGATGGCGGCACTTACATGTTGTGGAAGTCCAAGGCTGTGTCCGTGATTGGTGCCGCATCCTGCATGTGGAGTGCGTCTGCCACGTTCAACGTAGTGCCGAATCCATGCCAATTACAAACCAACTTCGTGGGCCAGTTGCCACTCTTCACCGACGGTTCCTGTCAAACATTATATATGTTACTGCTGTGTAGGCTACAGTGGGTTAGCCTTTAGGGGGTACAATACTCTAGGGTTTACTACTTGTACTCTCAATGTTCCTAGTTCAATCACTTCTCATTTCTGACATGGTATTAAGAGCCTAGGTTAGGGACCTAGGACCGATTACCTAAGGGCCCACCGTTCCGCTAGAGGTGCCCTCGTGCGCCCTACCGTCTTAGCGCCCTCGTGCGCCTCTCTCTCCTAGTGTGCCCTCGCGCGCCCTCCTCTCACGCTGCTCGTTTGCAGCCCGCTAGCAGCCGGAGCGCGGCCCCGCGTTTTTAGCGCGAGTAGACCGTCAGCCGCCTAGGGCGGCCCGTTTTTTCTCGCGCGCGCCAGTAGGCCGTCGCCCGTAGGCCCCGCTCGCCCCTAGGCCGACGCTCGACCCACCGCCGCCCGCCCGCAGGTCGCAGCCCGCGCGCAGCGGCGATCGCACGTCGGCTGCTGCAGCTCGCGCTTAGCCGCCGCACGAAAGCAGCCGCGGCCCGCGCGCAGCCGCACCCTAGGCGCCGCCGCGCACCGTGCATAGGCCCGCCGTCGCGCCGCCCTACCTGCCCGAGTCGCGCCGCCCGAGTCGCACCGCCCGAGTCGCGCCGCCCGAGTCGCGCCGCCCAGATAGAGCCGCGCCGCCCCACCTGCAGCAACTGCTGTTCCTGTTCCTGCTACAGCTACTACTGCTACTACTGCTACTGCTACTGCTACTGCTGCTACTGCTACTGCTGCTACTGCCACTATGGCCAGTCCTACCGTTCTCACTTTTGACTCTGAGGGCCGTCCGATTAAGTTTGACATTTGGCTCGATGACCTGCACCTGTTCCTCCAGATCACTGCCAAGGACGATGTTTCCTTGTTTGACCACACGTCCGGCGTAGCTCTCGCACCTGCTGCTACCGCTGACAGTACAGCTCGCTCACAGTGGCAGACCCGTGACGCTCACGCTCGCCTAGCCGTTCGCAGCCACCTGCCGTTAGATGAGCGCGAGCACTTTGGCCAGCATAAGACAGCTAAGGAACTGTACGATGCTGTAGTTGCGCGCTACTCCTCCCCTGCTACTGCTGCGATAGGCCGTCTCTCGCTGCCCTATCTCTTCCCCGATCTGTCCGCCTTTGCCACTGTAGCTGACCTCATCACTCACCTCCGTACTAGTGATCTCCGCTACCGTGCCGCGCTTCCTCCTGATTTCCTCGCCAAGAACCCTCCCCCGATGTACCTCACACTCTACCACCTAGTCACTCGCCTCCCTGACTCTCTTCGCGCAGCCAGGGACCACTTTCTCGCCCTCTCTCCCACTGACCTCACCGTCGACCTGCTCGAGAAGGAGCTCCTTGCAGCTGAGACTAGCATTGTAGCTGTAGGTGCCTCTCATGGCGACCCTCGCACTCCCTTCTTTGAGGGATGTTCCCCCTCCCCCCTTCTCCCCTCCATTGCATCTGCTGCTGCTGTCGACTACCTCGGTGCTGAGGAGGTCGGGGCTGCGTCTGCTCCTAGTTGGAGGCGCAAGGGCGGCAAGGGCAAGGGGGGCAAGGGTGGCGGAGGTGGAGGCGAGGGCGGCGGCAGTGGAGGGGGTGGAGGAGGCGGGGGTGGTGGCGGTGGTGGGAGTGGTGCTGGTGGGGGGGGGGGGCAGTGGCGGAGGCGGGGGTGGTGGCGGCGGTGGTAGTGGGGGTGGTGGGGGTGGTGGTGGTAGTGGTGGCGGCGGTGGAGCTGGTGGCGGGCGCGGTGGAGCGGTGCAGCGTGGAGGGGTCGGTGGTGGCCAGAGGCAGCAGCAGCAGCGTCCCAGCGAGACCCCGTCCCCCCAGCAGCTCCGTGAGTGGTACTCTCAGCGTGGGGGGTCTGGGGGTGGAGGTACTTGCCCGTACCTTATCCGCACAGGTGACCGCACTGGCCAGACCTGTGGGAGGTTCCACACGGCACACCGCTGCTTCTTTCGTCTCGACGACGCCTAGCGTGCACAGTTTCCTGACGCCACTGAGCTGCCCCGCTGGGCTGATCTGATGAAAAAGAACATTGATATCTTTGCTCTTGACTTTGATGCTATCCTTGGGGCCATGTATGCATTGACTATTAGTGTTGAGGGTGACTCTTACCTGCGTGTACCGCCAGACCCGGGTATTGGGACCAGTGAGGCTGCCGCTCTAGGTGCTAGTGCGTCTGCTGCCCTAGGTACTGGTCAGGCTGCTGCTCTAGGTGCTAGTGAGTCTGCTGCTCCAGGTGCTCATGCGTCTGCACCTGCTGCTACTGCGTCTACTGAGGCACTGCACACCTTCACACTGGACTCGGGTGCTTCCCGCTGTTTCTTTCGTGACCGCACTGCCCTTGAGCAGCTTGCTCGGCCAGTTGCAGTCTCCCTCGCTGACCCCTCTGGGGGTCCGGTCATTGCGACCTCCTCCACTGTCCTTCCTTGTCCTGCGGTCCCGTCGGGCACACTGTCAGGTCCCTACCTCCCCTCGTTCTCTACGAACTTGGTGGCGGGTCGTGCACTCCAGGACGGGGGTGTCCACCAGTTCACCCCTGCCTTCGAGCGTGTGAAACACTGCACGTGTGCTCGGACGGGTCGCCACCTGGCTACCTTCACTCGGCAGCCGGGGTCGGGCCTGTACACACTGACCACTGAGTCCCCCCAGGTAGCTGCGTCTGCGTCAGGTCAGCTGTCGGCCCCCTACTCGTGTCGTTCCCTGTCGCACGAGACCGTCCTCTGGCACCACCGCCTTGGTCACCCGTCAGTGCAGCGCCTTCGTGGCATGCACTCCCGGTACCTTGTCTCTGGTCTTCCCAGGGTTCTCCCTCCCCTCCCACCCTCGCCTGCTCCTCCCTGTCTTCCCTGTGTCGAGGGGCGGCAGCGCGCCGCTCCTCACTCCTCCTCGTTTCCCCCGACGACTGCTCCCCTGCAGACCCTCCACATGGACGTGTGGGGCCCAGCCCGCGTCCGTGGACAGGGTCACGAGAGGTACTTCTTGATAGTTGTTGACGACTACTCGCGCTACACCACGGTCTTCCCCTTGCGCACCAAGGGTGAAGTCCCTGATGTTTTGATCCCTTGGATCCGCGCTGCCCGTCTCCAGCTCAGCGAGAGGTTCCACTCGGACTTTCCTGTTCTGCGTCTGCACTTTGACAGAGGTGGGGAGTTTTCCTCCGACCTCTTGAGGGATTTTTGTCGTGGGGAGGGCATTGAGCAGTCGTTCACGCTTCCGGCCTCTCCACAACAGAATGGGGTTGCTGAGCGCCGCATTGGCTTGGTCATGGAGGTCGCTCGTACCTCCTTGATCCATGCGGCTGCCCCCCACTTTCTGTGGCCGTTTGCGGTCCGATACGCTGCGCATCAGCTCAACCTCTGGCCCCGTGTCTCCGTTCCGGAGACTTCGCCGACACTGCGTTGGACGGGAGAGGTTGGCGATGCGTCGGTGTTCCGGGTCTGGGGATCTCGTGCTTTTGTCCGCGATACGTCCGCGGACAAGCTCTCCTCCCGCGCTGTTCCTTGTGTCTTCCTTGGCTTTGTCCCGGACGCGTCTGGTTGGCAGTTTTTACCACGCCACCTCGCGCCGTGTCCTGCCCTCTCAGGACGTCACTTTCGACGAGTCGGTCCCCTACTACCGCCTCTTCCCCTACCGCACTGCCCCGCTCCCCCCCCCGCCTCTCTTCCTCGCACCAGGTGCTGCTGTGGTAGACCCCCTCCCCCCTCAGGGTGCCGCTCCCTCAGGTGTGTCCCAGGTAGACCCGGTTGAGCCTGTCGAGGTAGCTGTCGACTCTCGTCCTGCTAGGGGTGCTAAGCCTGAGCGTGCGGAGCCTGGGGGTGCTGAGCCTGAGCGTGAGGAGTCTGGGGGTGCTGAGCCTGAGGGTGCTGAGTCTGGGGGTGCTGAGCCTGAGAGTGCTACGTCTGAGGGTACTGAGCCTGGGGGTGCTGCGACTGACAGTGCTGCGCCTGGAGGCGCTCCCTCTTCACAGCAGCTGCGAGAGTGGTACTCGCGGTACTGCAGCCTCAGGAGGGGCGCTTCTGGGGCTAGGGGTGCTGCTGGAGCTGGTGCTCGTGGTTCCCCGCCTAGGCGGGAGCCGCCCTCTCCCCAGCGGCTCCGAGAGTGGTACGCTCGGCGCTGCAGTCTCCGGAGTGGCGCAACTGGTGCTTTGGACCCTGGAGCTGGAGCCGCTACTAGTGCTGCGGACCCTGGAGCTGGTGCTGCTGGTGGTGCTACTGGAGGTGCTGCTGGTGCTGGTGCTTCTGGAGCTGCTGCTGGTGCTGCTGGAGGTGCTGCTGGTGCTGGTGCTGCTGGAGGTGCTGCTGGTGCTGCTGGAGGTGCTACTGGTGCCTTGGACCCTGGAGCTGGAGCTGGTGCTGGTGCAGCGGACCCTGGAGCTGGAGCTGCTGCTGGTGCTGGTGCTGCTGGTGCTGGAGGTGCTGCTGGTGCTGGAGCTGCTGGAGGTGCTGCTGGTGCAGGTGCTGCTGGAGGTGCTCCTGATGCTGGAGCTGCTGGAGCCGCTGGTTCTGGAGGTCTGGAGCTGCTGGGACTGGAGCTGCTGCGGGGGTTGGAGCTGGAGGTACTGGCGCTGCTGGGGTTACTGGTGGTGCTGCGGGAGTTGTCGCTGGAGACCCTGTGGCTGAGGGTGCTGGTGCTGTCTCTGCTGGTTCAGGAGGTGCTGAGCGGCCGCGGCCGTACTACGTTCCGCTCCTTCAGCAGGTTCTTGGCCTCCCGCCCTCCACTGGTCCTTCTCCTCCCCTACTGAGTCCACCACCTGTCCAGTCGCAGTCACAGTTACCGCTTGCCTCTCCACTGCCTGGTCCTTCTCCTTACGCTGGGCCGACTAGAGGTCTTACGGAGCGTCGTGAGCCTGAGTCTCGTCCTGCGTCGCCTGAGTCTCGTCCTGAGTTGCCTGAGTCTCGTCCAGAGTCGTCTGTCCGCGCTGTCCGCGCTGGTCGTCGTGCTCCGCGTCAGCGTCCTCCTCCTGTACTTGGCACTCACTATATGACTCTGCGTCCTTCCACTGCTCCTCAGCGTGTCCCTCTGCCGTCTCCTCCTGCGTCCTCTCTTCCTGACGTTGCTGACCCGCCGTCAGACCTTGCTCGTGCTGCCAGTCCTACTGTCACGCGTCTTCTTGCTACTGTTGTCACTGACCCTTCCTTTGAGTCCACTGCTGCGTCTGCTCTAGTTGCTGAGCTTGTTGACTTTGCTGCCGCCTGTCGTCTAGACTACGCCGCTAGCCTTGTTGCTGAGTCTGAGTCTGTCTGTCCTCCGTCCGTCGGGGGTGAGTGTGCTCTTGGCACGGACGTCCTTGAGGACAGACAGGAGGAGTTTGAGTGCTTTGCCGCTGCTTTACCTCATCTCGTGTCCATGCTGCTTGCCCCTGAGGGAGACCCGGATGCACCAGACATCCCGACCCCGCGCTCTTACGCAGAGGCGATAGAGGGTCCCTACTCCTCTCAGTGGCAGACAGCCATGGACGCAGAGATGGCTTCCTGGAAGTCCACAGGCACCTACGTCGACGAGGTTCCCCCACCTGGTTCGTCAGTGGCATGTGGATTTTCAGGGTGAAGCGGCCGCCGGGTTCTCCGCCTGTCTTCAAGGCGCGTTACGTTGCACGAGGCTTCAGTCAGCGAGAGGGAGTTGACTTCTTCCAGACCTTCTCCCCGACCCCGAAGATGACCACTCTTCGGGTTCTGCTGCACGTCGCCGCTCAGCGTGACTACGAGCTCCACTCTCTTGACTTCAGCACTGCTTTCCTACAGGGCAGCCTGCACGAGGAGATCTGGCTGCGCCGCCCACCTGGCTTCACTGGGTCGTTCCCTGCTGGTACCCAGTGGAGCCTCCGGCGGCCAGTCTACGGTCTCCGCCAGGCACCCCGTGAGTGGCACGACACACTGAGGACTACTCTTGCTACTCTTGGGTTTGCTCCTTCTACTGCTGACCCGTCGCTGTTTCTACGCACCGACACCACTCTGCCGCCGTTCTACGTTCTCGGGTACGTAGACGACTTGGTCTTTGCTACTGCTGACACTGAGGCACTCGCCCACGTGAAGTCGGAACTGCAGAAGAGATACACGTGCACAGACCTGGGTGAGCTGACAAGCTATCTTGGCTTGCGGATCACCCAGGACAGAGCACAGCGCACCATCACCTTGACTCAGTCACACATGGTGCAGCAAGTCCTTCAGCGCTTCCGCTTCATGTACTCCTCGCCTCAGCCCACTCGCTCTCAGCTCTGCCTTCGGATGAGTCCGTAGAGCCGAGTGGCTCGTATCCAGAGCTTGTGGGCTGCCTCATGTACCTGATGACCTGCACTCGACCTGACCTTGCATACCCTCTTAGCATCCTAGCACGCTATGTCGCTCCTGGCCGTCACCGGAAGGAGCACATGGATGCCGCTAAGAGGGTGTTGCGCTACTTGTGCAGTACGTCGGGCATGGGGCTTGTGCTTGGAGGACGGAGCGACGTTGTCCTCACTGGGCAATCAGACGCTTCTTGGGCTGACGACCAGGCTACGCAGCGGTCGTCTCAGGGTTACACCTTCAGCCTTGGCTCTGGTTCAGTTTCTTGGCGTTCTACACGCTCGTCTTCAGTTCTCAGCTCCAGTTGTGAGGCTGAGATCTACGCCACAGCCATGGCTGCACAGGAGTTACGCTGGCTCACCTACCTGCTGACCGACCTGGGAGAGCGGCCTCGTTCTCCTCCAGTGCTGTACGTCGACAACAAGGCCGCCATTGCCTTGTGTCAGGAGCACAGGCTGGAGCACAGAACGAAGCACATCGCTCTGCGCTACTTCCTTGCTCGAGAGTTGCAGCAGCGTGGTCAGCTTCATCTTGCTTACGTGGCCACTCGGGCCAACACTGCTGATGTGTTCACCAAGGCGCTTCAGCCTTGTGATCATCAGCGTTTCTGTACTGTTCTAGGCCTTGTGGCTACTGTCCCTCACTTGCTCACTTCTTGACTCTGCTTGTACTGTACCTCTTGTTATATTATCAAACTGCATGTGAACTGGTCTTGTGACCGCTTGCTTGTGCTCGGAATTTGTGTGGTATCCTTGAGATCCACCCTGAGCTTGTTTTGCTTTGCTTTGCTTTGACTGGTCTTGTGACCCCTTGCTCTTCCCCACTTCGCCTATGGGGGTGTGTCAAACATTATATATGTTACTGCTGTGTAGGCTACAGTGGGTTAGCCTTTAGGGGGTACAATACTCTAGGGTTTACTACTTGTACTCTCAATGTTCCTAGTTCAATCACTTCTCATTTCTGACAGTTCCTTCTTAGCTCGGCAGGCCGCGGTAATGCCCGGGAGCTGTTTGTTGCTCCGGGCCATATCGACTATAAGATCCTGTGCCGGGGGTAACGTTTTCGGAGGTGGAGGAGGCAGTTGGAAAGAATAAGGTTCTTCTGTGACTCGTGCACGGTGCGCTCTAGTAGACGGGCCAGTGGTCTGTTGCTGTTCTGCACCAGTTGTCTTTTGGCGTTTTGGTGCTGACCGCCCCTATTACGCGTGCTGCGACGGCCACCAGGGGCCTTAACGGCATCTTCTCCACCCGCATCTACGTGGTCAGACTCAGCATCTAACTCGACGAAGTCTTCATCCTCATCGTCTCCTACTTTCACGGGGTCGTCAGGCCTGCCCGTAGGCATTTTGAGTTGCTGGAGGTGGCGGAAGCGGATGAGGAGGAAAGGTAACGGAAAGGAAGAGGGATCATGCTGTCTTCGCGAGTCTAAAGCTCGTAATCGTGTTAATAAGGGCTAGCGGAATGCTACGGCGACAGTGTTCGAACGGAGACGGGTGAAGCTCTAAACAGCGAATGCAGGTTGCTAGGTCTAACAGACACGGGTAATGACCATGGCTGACAATTGATAAGAGTGCGAGCGAACGGTGTTCTCGAATCACGAACAAGAGCGGGCTTCGCTTTTGAGATTTGCGTGCAGAACACGGCGAGCTCTGAGTGGATGGAGCTCGCGCATCGAACGTGGGTTGATCTATTTGGGGACCACAACGGCTGTGCTGGCGTAACCTCGTTCGCACATGCTCACGGTCTGTTAAAGCCCAAGACCTGAATTACTCAACGGAAGTCAACGGGAAAAAATAGGTTCGGAAGTCAAGCAGACGGAGGTTCGGTTGGGGTGCGAAGCACTTTCACTCGCGAAACCAATTTGCGACAAAAGAAGTTTCGCATACAAGAATATGAGCGATGGGTGGGGTCGTTCCCACAACAACCAGAAAAGGGCATCCATCCCAAACTGTGCACACTTTGAGATAGCACGCAGATAACTAGGCATAGAGCATACCTGTAGAGATAGCAGGGAATCAGAGGCGCCTTACGAATGGGTGTGGCGCGAATTTCGATGACGACGCGCAAAGATAGTGTTCGCTGGTGTCGAAATGCAGGTTCAGTGCAACTGATGCGTAAACTCGCGGCGAAGAATAGCGTGACCCTTCGCCCAAGCGTGAACCTCTCCTCGCCGTCGCTTTCCGTTCCCAAGGTCCCACGAGGGCGATCTCATTCGCCATCGCTTTCCCAGCTCGTCGCCTTCAAGACCTCATTCCGATGCCTTCGCGACCCCAGCCCGTCGCCTTCGCTCCGCCCGTCGCCCTCGCTTTCCACGCCTGTCGCCTTCACTTCCCCTCCCCCGTCGCCTTCACTTCCCCTCCCCCGTCGCCTTCACTTCCCCTCCCCCGTCGCCTTCACTTCCCCTCCCCCGTCGCCTTCACTTCAACTCCCCCGTCGCCTTCACTTCCCCTCCCCCGTCGCATTTCCCGCCCGTCGCCTTCGCTACTCCCGCCCGGCGCCTTCCCTTCCCCTGCCCCTCGCTCTCGCTTCCCCCGCCTGTCGCACTCGCTTCCCCCGCCCGTCGCACTCGCTTCCCCCGCCCGTCGCTCTCGCTTCCCCCGCTCGTCGCACTCCCCGCCAGTCGCACTCGCTTCTCCGCCAGTCGCACTCGCTTCCCGCCCGTCGCACTCGCTTCCCCCGCTCGTCGCACTCCCCGCTCGTCGCACTCGCTTCCCCCGCCCGTCGCTCTCGCTTCCCCCGCTCGTCGCACTCGCTTCCCCGCCAGTCGCACTCGCTTCCCGCCCGTTGGGCTCACTACCCCTCCCATTGCCGTTCACTCTCTCCTGCTCACGCTCTGCCCTCCGCTCACTCTCTCCCCCTCCCTTCACTCTCTTCTCTCACGTACACTCCCTTTCCCCCTATTCTCACTCCTCTCTTTCCCCCTCGCCTCACTCTCTACCCCCCTGCTCAATCCCTTCCCCCCTCGATCTCTTTCCCCTACTCTCTCTCTACCCCCCTGCTCAATCTCTCCCCCCCTCAATTTCTTTCCGCTGCTCACTCTCTCACTCTCTCCCCCCCTGCTCACTCCCTCCCCCCCCCGCTCACTCTCTCCCCCCCTGCTCACTCTCTCCCCCCCTGCTCACTCTCTCCCCCCCTGCTCACTTTCTCCCCCTCTGCTCACTCTCTCCCCACCTGCTCACTCTCTCCCCCCCTGCTCACTCTCTCCCCCTCTGCTCACTCTCCCCCCGTGCTCACTCTCTCCCCCCCTGCTCATTCTCTCCCCCTCTGCTCACTCTCCCCCCGTGCTCACTCTCTCCCCCCTGCTCACTCTCTTCCCCCCTGCTCACTCTCTCCCCCTCTGCTTACTCTCCCCCCGTGCTCACTCTCTCTCCCCCCTGCTCACTCTCTCCCCCTCTGCTCACTCTGCGCCCCTGCTCACTCTCTTCCCCCCCGCTCACTCCCTCCCCCCCCGCTCACTCTCTCCCCCCCTGCTCACTCTCTCCCCCTCTGCTCACTCTGCGCCCCTGCTCACTCTCTTCCCCCCTGCCCACTCCCTTCCCCCCTGCTCACTCTCTTCCCCCCTGCTCACTCCCCCTCTGCTCACTCTCTTTCCCCCTGGACTCACCCGCCTTTCCTCCCTGTTTACTCTCAATTCCCCTTCGTTCAACCATTTTTCCCCACACTACTCTTATTTCCCCTGTTCAGACCCCTCGGTTTCCCCTGCTTACTGGCTTTCCCCCCTGCTCGACCCCTTCTCCCCCCTGCTCACTCTCTTTCCCCTTTTGCTCACCCCTCTGCCCCGTCCACATCCAACCCTCGCTTATCTGCCATACCCCCTCTTCCCTTCCCGTTCTATCACAGAACCATGAACAGGTGCCCAGCACCATGAGTCCCAACAGGAATGTGATGATTGTGTTCCTATAGTCCATTGTTGACAACTTTTATACGGTATAAACACTATTATGCTTTGTTCAACTTCTTTGTAGTGGCCGTGTGCATGGCTGCTCTGAAGCAGAGAATGTTTTATTAATAGAAGCATAAGCATCAATACATGGCATGGCTACCTATTTGTCATACCACTATCATCAAACAACAAACACTTCACAACTGGATGCATGGCAGACCTGCACAAACACGAACCACAAAATTTTGTGTCATATGTTGAAGCAGCTGGGAAGGATACCGTACAAAACAATAACAATCGAAATATACAAACAGGCTAGGAGTGTACAGGCTTGGAAGGGAAAGGGTGGATGGGAGGATGTGAGAAATTCAAGGAGGGAGTAGGCAAGTGGGTCAGACAGAAAGGCGGAGGATAGGAAGATCGGAAGGTGGCAGCTTGAAAAAAAGGGCGGTATGGTGGAGAGGCAGGAGGATGAAAGAAAGAGTGGGTGGGAGCGTGGTAGGGAGGAGGGAGGCTTGGAGGAAGGGCGGATGGGAGAAAGTGAGGGGGGTAAAAGTGTGGCAGGGTATAAGGGTGGAACGGGGGGAAGGGAGAATCAGAGAGAAGGAAAGAAGGGTACAAGGGTGGGGGGGAGCGTGGGTGACGGTGGGAGGGGGTGTAGGGAGAGTGGGGGGCAGCGAGGGCGACGGAGGGAGCAAGCGTGGGCGATGAGAAACGTGGGGGAAGGTGGGGGAAAGCGTGAGCGACGGTGGGAGCGTACGCGACATTATGGGGAAGCTTGGGCGACGGTGGGGGGAAGCGTGGGCGACGGTGGGAGGATGAAGGCCGAACGAGAGAAAGGGGGATGAGAGGATAGGGGGATGAGAGGAAAGGAGGATGAGAGGAAAGGAGGATGAGATGATGGGCGGATGAGATGATGGGCGGATGAGATGATGGGCGGATGAGATGATGGGTTTAGGGAGATGATGGGCGGGCGGGAGGAAGGGAGGGAGAACGGGCAACAGAAAGGGGAAAGAGGGTAGTGAGGCAGAGAATGTGGGATAGATGGAGGAAGGGAGGAAGAAAGAGGGAGAGGAGGACGACTGTGGGGGCCCCACGGAACGGAGTAAGGGAGAAGGGCAGGAAGTAAGAGTGTGGCAGGGTATAAGGGGGATAGGAGGATCCCTGCACCCTCTCTCCCTAACCCCCGCCTCCCCCGCTCCGCATCCCCTAACCCGCCCCCTGCAGCACTGCACTCCTTGCTGCCCGCCTGCACGCGCTGCCCTGGGTGTGCGCCCAACACTCTGCTCCACAGCCGCACCACCACCTGCCATGGGCGACGGTGGGGGGAAGCGTGGGTGACGGTGCGGGGAAGCGTGGGCGACGGTGGGGGGAAGCGTGGGCGACGGTGGGAGGAAGCGTGGGCGACGGTGGGAGGAAGCGTGGGCGACGGTGGGGGAAAGCGTGGGCGACGGTGAGAGGAAGCGTGGGCGACGGTGGGGAAAAGCGTGGGCGACGGTGGGAGGAAGCGTGGGCGACGGTGGGAGGCAGCGTGGGCGACGGTGGGGGGAAGCGTGGGCGACGGTGGGAGGAAGCGTGGGCGACGGTGGGAGGAAGCGTGGGCGACGGTGGGAGGAAGCGTGTGCGACGGTGGGAGGAAGCGTGGGCGACGGTGGGAAGAAGCGTGGGCGATGTGCGGGGAAGCGTGAGGGAAGGTGGGGGAAGGTGGGGGAGGGCGCGAGCGACGGTGTGGGGAAGCGTGGGGGAAGGCAGGAGGGAGCGTGAGCAGCGGTAAGGGGAAGCGTGAGCGACGGTGGCGGAAAGCTAGGGCGACGGTGGGGGAAAGTGTGAGAGGTGGGGGAAAGCGTTGGCGACATCGCGGTTTTGACAAGGACGGAAAGTCACAGAAATGTGATTTTTTTGTGATGAATACGTGACTATTTTCCGGGGGTTGTGTGAGAGACGGTGGGGAGAAGCGTGGGGGACGCAACGGTGCAAGCACAACCTGAATTACGAAAGAAGGCAAACTGTGCACACTTTGAGCGGTTGTTCCTTCAGGAGGGAGCAGTTGGGACTCTCGCCAACCATACTTGTTCTCCCCTACGACTCTGTGTTTTTTGGCGCGATGTTTTCTGGTAACCAGCCTGGCTCGGGAAGTCAACTGTGGGTTCGGAAGGCAAACTGTGCACAGTTTGCCTTCCTCTTTTTGTAATTCAGGTCTTGGGCTTTAATTAGCCGATCGAAGTTGTACACTGCTGCAAGCCTGTTGGAGCAAACCCTGATTGGTGCACACTGAAAGGTGAGAATCACTCACGATGATTTCGATTCATTCCAAGTGGCGTGCAGCTGGCATGTTTATGGACGTTGTCGATAACATTCTGATCGGTATTGCTGCGTTGTAAATACCTCGTTGGTCGTCTCACGCATGGTGTTAATGAGCATGTGTAGCAATCTGGCATACATAATACGTGTGCAAGACAGTGCATGAACGGCGGGGTGCGATTGGAGCTAATTTTCGCGTCCCTAAAAGCCTGGATACATTGAACAATGCAGACACGATGACGTCAGACGTGTACATGCATGCCATTTGTCCAAATCCTAATCCGCCATCGTTTCGGCGGGATGTAACATATCATAGTCGTACCACGTGTTCAGGTTCGCGCATGCACACGACAGTGATCCTTATTGGTCCGCGTTCGCGATGCGCAGCTGCAATTGCTGATGAACCTGTTATTTCGCTGACTGCCATTTGGCGCTCAGTGAACCGTTGACTGAATGGCGCCTTGTCGAGCCTAAACGACAAAAATTTACACGTAGGCTTGGCAAACCAGGACTTCGCTGGTTTGGTTCCTACAATGTTGGAGGCTCTCGGTTGAATCCTGGCCAAAACGTTCCGACATGACCGTACACTAACATGTACACGACTTCTTTGAAGTCGAAATGTCGGGAGCGCGGAACGCGCGGGATAGTAGGTGGAGTGTCGTCGTTTCGGGTTATGGAAAATTTTAAGCGCGATGAAAAAATTTCACGAGACCAAAGCCCGCGCCGCGGTAATTCTCTCGGCAACTTCACACATACATTCGGAAACCTTCCCCCAGAGCAACTTCCTGAGTAACATCGAAGTAGGAATCCCAACCCACGTTTTTTCGGATGTCGCCACACTGGATAAAGTTGTGCCTTTCAGCATGAGATGCTAAAGCATTGCATCTTGCCTCAATTTCTTCGATTTGAAGACATCCAGTAGTATAATCATCCCCGCAGAAGTCATGAGTCGTCTGTCCCTGCTGCTGCTGCTCCTGCTGGCAGGTAAGCCTCCCACGAGTCGTTACTTCATGTGGCTGTGCATTCACTCTTCAGTGAAGGCCGTCAGGAAGGGCAAGACGAGACAACGTGTTCTTTCAGTCCTGCCTTATGAGTCGTTCTTTTCTTTAATCAACTTCTCACCTGTCTTGGAGTTTTTATTTTCTGCTGCGTGATCCACCTGCTTGTGATATCATGATACTCTACTACCGTGCCTCCCGTGCTGTCACGCCTGATGCGCCGCGGCGCATGATGCTGCGGCGATGCTGTGATCACTCGCGCTCATGGATGTGCAGTCTGCTCGTTCAACGAGTTGGGCCTTCCGGGCGCAACCCACCCTGCAGTTGCGGTAAGTGCGCTGTGCAAGCACCTCCCACCTTCCCCCTGCTCCCCCCAGGGGGAGGGGAAAGTAGTACTTTTCTCCCGCTATCCTTCTCGCTTAACCTTTCCCCTTCCCCTGCTCCCCCCTTCTTTTCTCTCGCTTGCCTTCCGATTTGACTTTCCCCCCTTCGCTAGTAACGGATAGTCACGTGCTGCCTCGTTTCAATTTGGTGCATCACATGATGTGGTAGCTTTGTGTCAGAACATTATAGCTCATGCATATTGTGTAGGCTATAGTGGGGTAGCCCATAAGGGGTACAACCCAATTAGGGTTAGTACTTGTACCCAATTCATTCATAGTTCATTCATTCCTTGTTTCTTCTCATGGTATCGAGCAGGTTCCCTAGTGGGAACGCTTCCTAGGGCCCACCACGAAATTTTTTTTTTTTTCCTGCCCGGAGCGCGCTTCACTCCCACATTCGCGCCCTCTCACGACCCCTCACGGCCCCTCGCGTCGCCCTTAGCGGCCCCTTACGGCCCCTCGCGCCGTCCCTTACGGCCCCTAGCGCGGCCCCTTACGGCCCCTTACGGCCCCTAGCGCGGCCCGTCGGCCCCTTACGGCTCCTAGCGCGGCCCCTCGTGCCGCCCGTCGGCCCCTTACGGCCCCTTACGGCCCCTCGCGCGGCTCCTTACGGCCCCTTACGGCCCCTTACGGCCCCTCGCGCGGCCCCTTACGGCCCCTCACGCGGCCCCTTACGGCCCCTCGCGCCGCCCGTCGGCCCCTTACGGCCCCTTACGGCCCCTCGCGCGGCCCCTTACGGCCCCTTACGGCCCCTCGCGCCGCCCGTCGGCCCCTCGCACCGCCCTCAGCGGCCCCTTACGGCCCCCTACGGCCCGTCGCCGCCCCTTCACGGCCCGTCGCCGCCCTCCGCGGCCCCTCGCGCCGCCCCTTCACGGCCCGTCGCCGCCCTCCGCGGCCCCTCGCGCCGCCCCTTCACGGCCCGTCGCCGCCCTCCGCGGCCCCTCGCACCGCCCCTTCACGGCCCGTCGCCGCCCTCCGCGGCTCCTCGCGACGCGGCCCCTCGCACCGCCCTCTCCGGCCCGCTGTCGCCGCCCCTACCGCAGCGGCCGCCGCCGTCCCTGCCGCAGCAGCCGCAGCCGTCGCCAGCAGCAGCCGCCACCACCTCCCTCGGGGCCGCGGCTGCTGCCGCAGCTGACTGCACCCGCCGACGCCGCTCCACTCGGCCCCGCCGCCGCTCCCCACGCGGCCTCGCCGCGCCACCTGAGCCGCCCGGGCCTGCCGAGCCGCCGTACCGCCCGAGCCGCCGTACCGCCCGAGCCGCCGTGTCGCCGAGCCGCGCTTGCTGCCGAGCCGCCGTACCGCCGAGCCGCCCGAGCCGCCGAGTTGCCGAGCCGCCGAGCAGCTGAGCCACCCGAGCCGCCCTGTCCGGTAAGTGCAGCGCCTCTGTCCCTGCACTGCCCTCACCCTACTGTTAGCGCTGCTAGTCTACTGCTGTCATGGCTACCCCTAGTGTCCTCGCCTTTGACGCTGAGGGTCGGGCCATTGACTTTGACGTCTGGGTAGATGACCTGCAGCTTTTCCTACAGTGCGATAGGGCAGACGGTCTCTCCCTCTTTGACCTCACCTCTGGTGCCTCTCCTGCCCCTGCTGCTGATGCCGACGCCACTGTTCGCTCCCAGTGGGCCACTCGCGATGCTGCTGCACGTCTTGCTGTGCGTCGCCACCTGCCTACCTCTGAGCGTGCGCACTTTAGCCAGTACAAGAGTGCTCAGACCTTGTACGACGCTGTAGTTGCGCGCTACTCCTCCCCTGCCACTGCTGCACTGAGCCGCCTCATGCTACCGTACCTCTTCCCTGACCTTGCTGCCTTTCCCACAGTCGCTGACCTCATTACGCACCTCCGCACTAGTGACACTCGCTACCGCGCTGCGCTTCCTGCTGAGTTCTGCGCCAAGAACCCCCCCCCCATGTACATCACCCTCTACTACATAGTCACCCGGCTCCCTGACTCCCTTCGCGTAGTCAGGGACCACTTCCTCTCCGTTTGCCCCACCACTCTCACCGTTGACCTCCTCGAGAAGTCCCTCCTAGCAGCAGAGAAGAGCATAGTCGCTGTAGGAGCCTCTCGTGGTGACCCTCGCACCCCCATCTTTGAGGGGTGTTCCCCCTCCCCCCTTTTGCCCTCTGTTGCCTTTGCTGCTGCGGCCGACCTCGTTGGGCTTGAGTCGGTCGGTGCGGCGTCTACCCCTAGCGGGAGACGTCGCCCTGGCAAGGGCAAGGGGGGCAGGGGCACTGGAGGAGCTAGCGGGGGCGGTGGAGGTAGCGGTGGAGGCGGTGGAGGGGGTGGGGGTGGTGGTGGGAGTGGTGGCGGGGGCGGAGGTGTCGGTGGCGGCAGTGGAGGCGGAGGCGGCGGTGGCGGTGGCGGTGGGAGCGGAGGTGGCGGCGGTGGAGGAGGAGGCGGCGGAGGAGGTGGAGCTGGTCGGGGTGGCTCCGGTGGTGGTCAGCGCCAGCAGCAGCAGCAGCAGCAGCGCACTCGTGACATCCCCTCCCCACAGCAGCTCCGTGAGTGGTACACTGCACGCCAGAGGGGTGGGGGTACTGGCCCGTGCACCTACGTCCTACGCACCGGCGACCATGCGGGTGAGCAGTGCGGGGGTGCGCACTCCACCCAGCGCTGCTTTGGCCGCCTGACGGACGCTTGGCGTCACCAGTTCCCTGAGGCCACTGAGATCCCCCGCTGGGGTGAGCTATCTAGGGCGGGTGTAGCTGTCTTTGACCTTGACTTTGATGTTATTCTTGCTGCCATGTATACTGTGACTATTAGTGATGAGGGTGACTGTTACCGGTGTTTTCCGCCCGACCCGGGCATTGAGACTGCTGCTCTAGGTACTGGTGAGGCTGCTGCTCTAGGTGCTAGCGAGGCTGCTGCTCTAGGTGCTAGCGAGGCTGCTGCTCTAGGTGCGTCTGCTCCCTCAGGTGCTGGTGAGTCTGCTCTCTCAGGTTCTGCGTCGGCTTCGGCCTCCCACACCTTCACCCTTGACTCGGGGGCTTCTCGCTCCTTCTTTCGAGACCGCACCACACTCACGCCGCTTGACCGGCCAGTTGCAGTCTCTCTGGCGGACCCCTCTGGGGGTCCTGTCCTTGCTCACTTC